TATGTGAAAAAATTAATGGTGATCTTTTGGGGTCCTACACACATAGATGGGGGAGGGTCCTATAGGATCATTTCTCATAATATAATGGTATACTATCAAAAACCTGAATTCCTTGAAAATATCGTGGAAAGGCAGCGGCGGGTGCATAAAACCTAGGTGAACCCTGGGGCATATATTATGCTTTTGATATCTCATATAATAACAAAAGAGAGTTGACCAAGTGGCAATTTTGAAATTTTTTTTTTAAAAAGAGGGTTGATCTTTCTTAATAATTTCTGCATATAAGTAGAGCATTTTGTAATTTACTTAAAATTTTAAGGCCCCTACATAAATCACTCTTAAAATTTTGCGTATTGAGTGGTCCCCTATTTTGTTACATGAGGCCAAGACCATACTCAATAAAAATAACCCAGCGCCTTTAACAGTTGTAAAACATCGCTTCACTATGAAGTGTCATTTATCGTATAATTCAAAGGAAGGGTGGGTGCATGCCCCATTAGCCTCCTTTCCTACTGTCTAACTGTTTTGACTATCTACTCATGCTTTGTCTTTGAGTACATCAACTTTTCTTTTATAAAATGAATTTTATTTATTTAAAAAATAGATAATCATTCAAGTGAATCTTTTAAACTTACTTTATATGAATTGATGAAACACTTCCTCAACTTAAGTAAGAATTTTAAATAAGATTTGCAGCCAATTATTTGATGTGAGTTCTCATCTAACTTTGTGTGATATAATATTGTGAGGCCCTTATCTTTTAAATTGGAGTTTATAAAATTTAGTTGAATGGGCCAAAAGTTCCGAGCTAATTTTGTAAGGTTTTTGTAGATTTGTTTGCTGACATCTTGAGCAGCAAGTTTAATTGAAACAGTGGGTGCATAATGCCAAATCGTGGTGTACAAGTTACTACTCAACAAGGTTTAATAATTCATGAGAGGGAGAGAATACTGATGGTGAGGGTAGTTAGACATGTGAAAAAGAGAGAGATACATACTTGAGAGTAGTAGTCATGGAGGGCGAAGGTTAGGAGAGAGAGAGAAGCAATGGAGATGGAGACTAGGGGTGGCAATGGTCTGGGTGGCCCAGCCCTAAAAGATTAGGGCTTGGATTACAAAATGTGGCCTGAGGGCTAAGCTTGGGGCAGGCTAAGATAGGCCCTGCCTAATTTAACCTGGCCCGACATTTATTTTTTTCATTTTTTTTTACATTGTTTTCCTTTAATTTTATCATGTATGGCCTACCCTTGCCCCGACCCTGATAGGTCCATGGCTAGGCTTAGGCCCATCAAACGAAAAAAATCGCTCGAGAGGGAGCACATTGTACACTTGCTCTGTCAGGCACGGTAGTCACTTATGACATTTTTCTATATCAAACTTTGGGATTCACTTAGATTCCCGAAATTGGCATTTTCTCAATAAGAATAAAGGAACATGATTTTGAATTCTTAAATACTTAGACCTGACTATCCAGAAATTGAATCATCTTTGTTTTTTTCACATGTTAATTGTGTGATTTTGTTTTTTCTTCTTCTCTTGTTTCCAAAGTTGGTCACCAGGTTGAAACAATTACATCCTAGGGCTTAAAATTATAAAAAATGCTCTTAAATAGTAGTTAAATTAACTTGATGGAATGGTTGTTATACTCCCGTAGGGCTATATGATCATTTGGCGCTGAGTATTTCACATATTAATACATATACTCAAAAATTGAGGACGCCATTAAATATATATAGAGAAATGATATGGTGTGTCTAGACGTGTTGACTGTATCCAATTATCAATACCTGTCCGACTACGACACCAAAAAAAATTTCAGTGTTCATATTTCATTTGGAGAGAAAAAAAAGGAAGAGAGAAAGAGAGATGGGCGTATTGGGAAGCAAGATAATGGATAAGAGCATTGCATGAAATGTATGGCCTCCCTGCTACATCAAAGTCGGCAAGCTTTATTGTGTTTGTTCCTTTTCGCTTTGGTCTCTTCCAAATTTTCTTGCACAACCACTTAGAAAGGGAGAGAAAGAATTATTTCCACGTGGGGGGACACACATGATTCACACTTTTGTTAATAAAAAATAATGGACCCGGTTTCTATACGGCCAAGCCCGCATATGTAGAAACGCGGGCCATTTAATAAAAGAAAAAGTTTATACAAGTATGCAACCTTATAATGTAGAACTACGGATGCACCTAAAAAATCCATCAGAAAAGATATTTTTAATGTTAAAAAACCTTTTGATTGATCATCTCAACATCAAGATGTATGATCAT